AGCAGGAATACACAGTTGTATGTGCTAGTTTTTACTGGTTATGCCATTTTAATAAGAGCCAGGTCTTTTGGAGAAGTCTTTATCTCCTCTTCCTTCTAACTCAATTATGTAATTTTCTTCCACCTAAGCAAACTTCCCAGCTTGAGCTGGGGCTGCATCTTGGGTCTCCTGGTTGGAGGCCAATCATGCTGGGTGCTTTACAAAGGATGTAGTAACACATACATTGTCCTTTAGGATCAGATCTCATGTCTGTCCTTAACAAGAGCCAGTTGGAGACATTTCAAAAGAATGCATAAAAAGGGTGCAGTAGACAGATATCTGATAGTCTGCCTTCCTGTTCCAGAAAAAGATGCCATTTTATGCCCTGAAGCACAAATTTAAATGATCCTTCAACAATATTTTGATATCATCATCATCGACTGTTACAATTGCTCTGGATCATTTTAACATCTTTATAAATGCCTGTCCCATTTTTTAATCATGCTGGACCAAAAACCATAATTGTGTGGTGTTGAATTGCAGAGTTCAGGTTTACACTCTGTGCTGTGTTGAGCCCTAAAAGTTTAAAAACAAATAAAAGAGACAACAGATCCATTTTAGAGAGAGGATTAGGCCAAAATTTCAGCTTTCTGAAGGTGCAAGGATTGCAGAGGGTTTGTGAAACACTGGGATCAAGGGGAGGTTAGCACAGGTGTATTGTTAAAAATGTCACTTCTGCCCATTCCCATCTCTGGGCTCCTGATGCATTTGTAAATCCTCATCCTAAAGGTGGGATTGGTGTCATCCATCTTCTGCCATCTAAATCTTACCTGTCAAGATTACTTTAATCTTTGGGCTCTGCTTGCAGTCAGCAGGGAGAGATGGATACCAAGGGGAAAAGTCTTGCCAGAAGACAGCTCAGGGTAGATAAGAGGAATCACCACCTGGCAGAACCTCTTCTTGAAACTGGAACAGAGAGACCTCACATGACAGTGAGCTCCATCTCCCTAGATCAGACACCAGCTGGTCCTACACTTTGGGGCTAACTGATTTTTGCTCAGAAAACCTGGAAAAGAGAGCAGCAGCGGAAGGACAAACTCCAAGTGACTGCCCAGAAACTTCCATTCTCCCCATTTCTAGGTGAGAACTTGGCAGTGTGTGCATGACAACAAACCAGGTAGATCCCATTCTACCCTCAGTTACTCCATAAAGCTGAAAACAAGAGGCTCTATGTTGTTGGTGGATTGTGTTGTACTGCAGAGCATGTCTAGGGCTTCCAGCAGAGAAACATCAAAATAACAGCTCTTTATTGCTATTCATAATAGGTGTTTGACCCTTTATATGCTACACTGAGTTTCATTTGCTGGGAACATAAACATCCCTTCTGAATGTCTTAATATTGTTTGGTTTAAATCAGGCTTTTAATGGGAGCAGTTGAGTGTATTGCCAAAATCTTGTTTGGTGGGATAGGTCGTAGTGAAGGGAGCTGTGTGGTGTAAGCAAAGAGGAATTGCTGTATGCAACCCATAATTTTCATGTACTTACTGTTGTGAGTGCTGTGATGAAAGGGATGTGTCACAGCATTTTCATCACATCAGCTGCTATTTTTGTCACTCTACCTGAAGGGTGGCAAAGGGCCCTCTTTCATCTGGAGGATTAGGAGGCCATTATGGTAAACAGCACCAGCAGCTTGGGTTGATGCTGGTGGAGCTTTCATCTTTTGTTCTAAGTTTTGAAGCATCATTTGTGGTTCTCTTGTTCCCTGTCTCATGACTTGATGATCATTTGGAGCAGAGAGCAGCTCCTTACCAGGATTGCTCAGGAAAAACCATTAAACACAAGAGGGAGGGAGGAGAGAAAAAGAGGGTCCAGCTGAGGGCTCCCCCAGGTTGGTGATGACCTACAGGTCATTACTAGTTGCACAGTGAGTATCTGGATCCCCTTCTCCTGCTTTGGCCTGAGCATGGAACATGACATAGTGTCCAGGTTCATACCTTGCCCCAAAAGAGGGGCTCCTCAGCTGATGGAGGCACCAATTGATGAAAGAATGTGGAGTCAGGGATGTGAGCAAAGAGATGTGAGCAGTGGGGACAGTTTCTGGCTCTACTTTTAGCCACCCACCCAGTTTCTTCACCTGTAAGTTGGTTCCAGGAATCCAGGAATCTATTCTGGGAAGTATCTGCAAGTTCCCAATCTGGGAAGAGGTGGAAGAGGGGAAGAGTTTGTTGTAAACTTTTGCTCTCCTGAAGTGCTTTCCTGGCTGGGGCTGCCTGTTCTCTCAGTGCTAGGACAGGGATAAATGAAGTGTTTCTCATTTCTGTGCTCCAGCTTCTGAATCAGAGAATGCTAATTTCTCTTGGGGGAACTCCAAATAAAGGAAACTCTTACTGTATCATTGACTCTGTATTTGCCTTCAGTGATTAGTGTGTACTCCTTTAATATTGAAATAAGATTCATACATAAAGCAGAACACATTAAAACCTATCTCTGTAACAATGAGGATAGTGATATGATTTTTGGATGTAACATTTTTATTTTATTTCATTTTTTTATTGTCTAATTATCTGGAATTCTTTGCCCAGAATTTTAATCCTTCACCTTTATGCCTGTGTTTATTCAGTATATCTTCTTTTTCTGTACTAGCAGGAGATATTTATATCCTGGCTCAGCACTTACATGGTTTAGTGTGTGCTTTCAAGCAAAGCCTGGATCCAGCCAGGGTGGATCCCTCCCTGGGAATGATAGCTCAGATTGTGATTTTACATTCCAGCCTCTCAAATGGATTGATCTGCCCTGTCCCTTCATACTGAGCATTTCTGTTCCTGCCTTTGTATCATATGCAGAGATTTCATGGAAACGAAGAGGCAAGAAGAGAGAATGAAACTGCATCACTTGCTTCTCCCCTCTGAGAGCAGCAGCTGCAGCATCTTTCCATGAGCTGGTGCTGCAGTGCAGTTGGGCTGCTTTGGTTCTGCCCACACAAAGCCCCTGCAGCTGGTCCCCCAGCCTGTGTCACCCATGGGGGAGTTAGTAGGGACCCAAGTCTGCAACTCTCCTGCCTGTCTGTGAGGAGCTGGAGCTGTGGCCAGGCTGCTGCTGGGGCTGAGCTCTGCGGGCTGCACAGCCCAGGGGAAAACAGCATCTCTCTGCATTCTGCAGTTTATGGTGAGCAAGGAGATGTTGTCCCAAGGGAGGTGACTCTCCCTGGTTCAGTAGACCCAACTCAGACTCCACAATCCATCTCAGGTGGCAGCTGAGTCCCAGGGAGTTCACCTGGGAGGCGGGTGGATGAAGAGTGCTGGCTTTTAATGGGTGGGACCTGACTTGATGAGAACAGCAAAGTTTCTGTGCCAAATCAGAAGACTGTTATTAATTCCTTTCTTCCAGGGCTTAAAATCCAGCATGCTGGCACCCATGCTGTTCATTATACATGACTTCCCCAGCACAGCCACAGGGTTGTCCCTACCTGAGCCCTCATCTCTACTTTGACAGCAATGTGGAAGTTGGTGACTGAGCAAGGGGAGAAATGTGGTATCAGGGGGAGCATCAGGATAGGCAGCTCCCTTCTGGGAGGGCACACAGAATCACAGCATCTTAAGGGTTGGAAGGGACCTGGAAAGATCCCCCAGCCCAACCCCCCTGCCAGAGCAGGGTCACCCAGAGCACATCACACAGGAACGTGGCCAGGGGGGTTTGAATGTCTCCAGAGAAGGAGACTCCACAGCCTCTCTGGGCAGCCTGGCCCAGGGCTCTGTCACTCTCACAGCAAAGAAGGTTTTTCTGATGTTTACACGGCCATGTGAAGATGCTGTAGCTGGATCTCAGTTGGCTGGAGTGGACCTGTCAGGACTGAGCAGTACCACAGGCATGGCCCCGCTACACCTTTCTCTTGTGTTTTGCAGCATCCCCTTCAATTAAACTTCTCGTGGATGACCCGATAGTGGTGAACCCCGGAGAAGCAGTCACCTTGGTCTGCGTGACGACAGGAGGGGAGCCCACCCCCAGCCTGACCTGGGTGAGGTCTGCTGGCACCCTGCCTGAGAAGACAGTCCTGAATGGTGGCACCTTAACAGTCCCGGCCATCGCGGCCGAAGACGCCGGCACCTACAGCTGCATCGCCAATAACAACGTGGGGAACCCTGCCAAGAAGTCCACCAACATCATCGTAAGAGGTAAGCTGTGCTGACAGGCTGCTGGCCTTTGCCAGGGAGGGTAAAACCTGACCTGGCAGGGGAGCCACGTTCGCCTAGTTTCCTGTGTGTTCAAACCTGATTTCTGGTCTGTTCTAGTGATGGATGAGGTGAAGGAGGGTTGGGTTCGGGCAGCCAGTGGCTCCCAGGCTGGGCTCAAACCCCCAGCTGGAACAAGGGTTGTGTGGTGCCCCTTTGTGCTGTGAAGGTGCAGCAGCTCTGCCATCCACGCTGAAGACAAGTGATGGCCAAGGGACACCGTGTCTTCTGGGCGTTGTCTGAGCTGATCCATACACAGTGTTTCAGCAGTGGATGCATCCTGAGCTCCCGGAGGTCTCTTTACCTGCTTCACCCTTTTCTTCCTCCTCATCAGCTGAACGAGTCATTGAGGGCTGTTGTGCATGCTGTGCATCTGCTGCCATCACACCACTGCTCCCTGGGTAGGAGCTGTAGATTAGTACCTATGCTTTAATTACCCTAAATGGCAGGATAAATGTCTGTCTTAGATAAAAGAGAAGAAGGCCTGAAGAACAATTGCAGCCAGGTGGAGAGAAGCTCTCCCAGGTTGTTTATCACTTCCCAGAAGACCCCAGGGACATGGCCAGTTGGTTTGAAGAGGAGTTCGATTGGTTGATAGGCATCCTCAGAGTAGATTTAATCTACCTGAACCAAGCAGTTCATCTGAAACTAATTTTCTGTAATGCAGTTGGTGAATGGTTCTGAAACACACACTCCCATGCCATGGGAACTTTAAATAACAGCATGTGATTAATCACACTCAGGAGAAAGTGCTGTGTAAAGAGCCAGTGGTGTGAATATTTTATGAGAGCCATAACCCCTCTTCACTTCTTATTGCCCAACATATCATACTCTTCAGCA